GGCAAGTTACTAGGATGTAGTGAATGGATATCCCGTGGTTTTTAAAAATAAAAATTTATCCAAATAGAACTAATAATTTACTATGACTGTGACTCGCACAATATATTTATAATCGAGATAAACTTGTACTGATAAAATCAAAGATCACGTGTAACTTGAATGACATCTCACATGCACAATAAAACCATAAACCTACACACTTTTTCGTCAACGTTTATTTTAAAAGTAATATGATGGACGACGACTACAGTTCAACTTCAGAAATTCTCGTGTATACTCACATTGTGTATACGGTCTGGGAATGGACCGAATCACAAATAACGAAATTAAGATATTCATGGAAGTGGGTAACATAATTTTAACCAGTTAGATACGATTTTTCGGGCATTAAGGATTTTTTTTTTTTTTTTTTTGAATTCAGTTCTATAGAAGAAGAATACAATGCATATGACGTTAGAATCACCTTTCTCCCCGAAAAACAGGTTTGTCCTAACGGTTCTCTATCAGAAAACCTTTTAGAAATAACTTTGCGTTTGTATTTCTCGCGGTAGGCCTTTGAGATAAAGGCAAATTCAGATGAAATAATAGCCGAAGTGTAAGCTTCAAAAATTAAACGTATAAAAATCTTGAGAATTACGTGAATACCATTTAATTCTGATTTCTCGCAGGCGTAGGGAGTTTTTTAAGCCATTGCAGAAGATGGTAAGAAAATCAATTTATGACTAACGAATTCAAATTTACGTGCAGAAATTTTATTATCGTCGATCCCTGTAGTCAAATGACGCAAAAGCTGTCTTTACTGTTCTTCCTCGTGAGGTTGAACGCGTTTCCGAGAATACTGACAACGTATTAATCGGAAGACCTCCGCCATTAGATGATGATGATGATCCGTTCCCGTTTCTCCAAGAACGGGACGAAAGTATAAAAAGAAAATATTATTTTTCAACAGCTGTTGGAAATGTTCATCGTTTATTGCGTTGGAAGCGGGAGAATTACGAACCCGATGCCTGGAAAGACATTTGCGATTCATGCAACATCATTGGTTACTTGATACCGCGTAAAAAGGCAATATATTCTTCGTGTATGCATGCACCTTTTTCATAAGAATATGTCACATTGTCTTAGTTGATTCTTATACACTTTGTAGGAAATTCATATCACTCATGGCGAAGAAGAAGATATTGACGAGGCTGTGAAAAGATTAAAAACATTAGAAGAGTTATACGTATGTATTGATGACATTTTTCTGGTTTTTTCTTAAGATTCAATTTTACAAAAACACGATAAATCGTTACTTTAGAATCGAGAGTCGTACAAAATAGAAATACCGCTCGTGCATCATCACAATATAAATCTTCAGTTTAAATTGTGTTTTTTAAAAAATGAAGATCACATCTACTTTGGAAAAACGTTTAAAATCGATAAAAAAGATCCCTACATAATAGTTACAGCGATACGGGATCCATCCGGTCAACAATGGGTGACCCCCAACTATGGCGAAAATGGAACAGTGTTCGTTCTAAGTGAAAAATCGAACCGTGGCAAAGCCATTGAATTACATGGTCAAAATTCGAATGATTTCGAAGCTCACAATTGGCCAGCTATAGAGCTTCCCAAAATTAACACACCGTGGGCGGATTTACCGAACGTTGCGGCATCTTCATCCAATCCACAAGCATCGACTTTGGACTCAGAGTCACTGGAGCGTTCATCTCCCACGGAAGAGCACAAAAAGGCTCATAAGGATGCCAAGAAACTTCAAATGGCCAAAGCGAGAAGAAATCGTGCGACCAAATATGCAAATGTTGATGAAAATTCGAGCGGTGGTACTTCCTCGGCTTGGTATACGCGACCGGAGCCACTTGAGGAAAGAGATTATGATGATAATTCGACTATTGTGCCGATTAAGTCTATGAATCTGGAAAAAAGTCCTAATAGCACTCAAGGTCGAAATATACCTAAACCCGGAATAATGTAAATTAAAATACTACGAACAAATAATTGACCTTTAATATTTATTGGAGTTTTCATTTTTATTTTTATTTTTTAATTACTCTTATTCAGAATCAGAAATTATAACTTTGCGCAAATTAAACAGGCATTTGTGCCAGGGTAAATTATTTTCTGTTTCTGCCCATCAATCTCTTTTAAAATCCGAAAAACTCAATCATTATGCAAATCCAGGTTTGAATACGTTCGAGCGCATAAAGGCGAGGTTCGATTTACCGGAAGGTAAACCAGAAATCTCAGAAATCCCATCCGCATTGCACGCAATAAAACTTTTTTCGACAACAATTTGAACCTTTATTATATAGCTTGGGGAAAGTTTTTTTCACAAACGTTAACCAAGATATCACAAAAAACCTCTGGGAATTCTCCGATTTAAAGGATGTAATTGTCAAGGAACATCGTGTAAAACCTTCTCATCAAAATTTGTATGTTTCACCTACATTTCACTGATTTATCTTGAAATAGCATAATTTTACTAATCTTCTCTTCAGTGCGTCTGACTTGATGGATTTTGGTCAAAAGTTAATTGATGAGGAGATATTTGGAGGAAAGCTATTGGAAGATTATTCATTTTTCGAAATAGTCGCTGATGCTAGAAACAGTGTTTCTAGCGACTATAATACGATATATATGCATGTGGACTGTGCAGTCTCTTTGAAAAAAGTTGCATTTCCTTGGGACCATAATGTAGACGCTTATTGGACCATATTGGAACGGTAAGAAAACAACGAAAAGTTCTATTGATATTCACTCTTAATGACGCATTAATGACTTTTTTATAGTAATTTCGATTTTACGATAAGCTTAAAAACAAGACGTCTTATTCGTCCCGATATCAAGCCATTCAGCGCCTTCATTAAAACGACTGCTATCAGTCCAGATCAAAACTCTATAACTTGTGAAAATATTAACGATTACCTTTATGTCAAATCAATAACCTATAAAACGGTATCAAGATACAAATTACATTTTCCATTTATTGCTGAAGTTACGCGAGTCGAAGAACGTATTTTGGAGAATCAAAAAGAATTCAACAAAATCAAAGCCGATTGTGAAGGAAGCAAGGTTCATTGGACTGTTGAGGTTGGTAGCTTCTAGCCCTAATTCTGTTTGCCTTATCGTTAATTACTTTAAATTTTCATAATTTCATACACAAAACAGATTATAAATTATAAACATGAGAATTTCTTCAAGGAAAACGAAACATTACCCGTTGGAAAATTAGTCACATGGGAAGTTCATGAAGCCCTTGGAGAAGAATCACAGTTGCAATTCTTAGTGGAACATGTTAAAGCGATGCTGAAGGCAGTGGAACGCTGTAGCAAACTTGTCTACGAGTTACATAAGAATTCTTGCTTTTAAAATACAATGTATCTGCTGTAACTAGATTTTGATCTTTACAAGTTTTGCTTGGAAATTTTTTATTTGCATTTTTTTTGCATGAATCAAAAATAAAATGTAAGTTTATATTGTATGTTGTATATATTAATAAATTTATTTTTTAATAATAATATTATTTAAAAACTTTAATTTTGATTTTTTTTGAAATAAACCCTTTGTATTCTGTAAACAAATATAAGGTAAAAATATTTTAATAAAAAATATATACAGTAAGGGACAAAAAAAACTGTCTAATTTTTTATATGATTAAAATTAATGTAACATGTTATGATAAGTATTAAAAAAATTTTTTTCAATTATATATATCCTAGTATGTTTTGACTTATTATCAAACCATACTTGTAAAATATTAATTTTCAGGAAAAAAATTCAACACAAACTTCTTTTGTATTATTGAAATAAAGGAGTACACAATGTTTAAAAATTATATTTGATAACAAAAATCTTATTAGAACAATATGTGACAATATTAAAAAATTAAAAAAAACAGATACAAACATTTATACAAAAGACAATAGATAATTAAAAAAGTTTATTGAATCTATAGTATAAGTAATAAGTCCAGTATATTTGTAATGATTTTTTAATTTTGATAAAAGATATAAATATAAAACTAATGAAAAAAGAAGTTAAGGTTTTTTATAAGATAGTTTAGTAATATTTAATAAATATCAATAAATTTAATATAATTGTAATGGTTTCAATAAAGGAACATGTTGGTCATTAATAGTTTGTCATTATTAAAGGAAAACTTTATTAATGGA